AAAAGCTTACTGCTGCCTGATTGCTTTACTGCCATCCGTGTTCATGAGGCTGTTTGCATTATTGTATCTGTATGGTAGAAATGGTATTTTTTGTGCCCAAATAATGGTGTGCTCCTGGGAGTCTCTTTTAGCTCTACTTTTGGTGATATCATTTTGGTAGGTTGAAACTAGCCCTGGTGGGAGTGCTTGCAGCACTGAAGTTGGCGAACACGCCAAACTGGGGCCCTTCCTGCCGGAAGATCAGCCCAGTATCTACCAGCACACCAGGGCCTGTGCCCTCAGTCCCTGGCCCCCTTTGCTAAACCCCCCATTTCCATGGGAGGCCGCTGCTTCTATCGCTTTTAGCTGTTTCTTTTGGTGCTTGTCCCTGTATTTCTTAATCACATGCTTTCACGGCTGCGTCTTGATTTTTAAAGCTTAGACGTTGTGTGTCAGCTTCTCGTGATGGAAGACGAGGCGTCACCTCTCTACCAGCTCTGTCTCCCCTCCTAACTCTGCACACACAGGCTTTCCTGCCTCTGTCCTCCCAGCATGTTATGGCACAACTCATGTTTGAATAAATATTCTGGATTTACATTACTACCGAGATGTAAATGCTTTACATAAGTCACCCTCACCGTGGTCGCATTAGCTTTCTTACACCACTTCTTTCCTGGGGTTAACAGCTGCACCTTTAATGGCTTAATTTCTCTAAAGAACTGTGGGTTTCCAGCTTCCCTCCTTAGCAGTGAAACTTGTCTTTCCAACAAAATTTTATGTGGAACCCTACTATATAAAACAGGAAAATCAGAGCTGCTAGGTTGGAAGGAGGTCCTTCCCTTCAAGGGTGCTGTGTATGGCCAGGCAGGCTGTGCGCCTCACAGCTTTAGGGGGTCACCATTCACATGGAAAACAATGCAGTTCAGTCGTGAGCATCATCCCATTGTGTAAAGAGAGGTCTCCCTGAAAGGATGCATTACATCAGGATTGCCCTCGGCCTGTTCCCTGCCCGAAGCAGGGTCTGACCTCCCCCACTGTGAATCCTTCCAGTGAGTGGCTTCCCCTCCCCTCCAGGGCACCCCCCTCAGGCTGTTGGCCAGAACTGCTGCCAGCTGATGGCCACCTGCTGACTGACTCGGTGCCCCTCAGACTTGCCTGGGCTGGGCTGGGAACCAAAAGCTTAATGCAGCTTTGCTCCAGGACCACTCCAGGGCAGCCTAAGGGGATCAGATGTAAGGAGAGGCTCCGTCAGAGAGTAAGTGAGCAGTGGAAGCAGCTGTCTCTCTGCGACCGTCAGAGCTGGAGGTGGGGAGCTGGCCCACGATGAGCAGTGGGGTTTAGGAAACTCGTCTTAAGGGGGTCACCCTGTGTAGGAATCCTAGCTTCACTGTCAGCTGGGTAGCCTGGGGGAAGTTGCTTGACCATTCTGGGCCTTAATCTCCTCATGTCTAATTGCCAGGGTTTTGTAAGGGTTAAAGAAGACACTGTGTAACCGTAGTAAGTCCCAGGGCCTCGTGTGGCTCAGCCTCTGAGATAAGCCCCGCCCCTCTCGCTGGCGAGGTACAAGGCAGGTGTAGGTGGGCAGAAACTGACCGTCGGCCTCATTATTCGGTCAAGAAACATAAAGGAGGGTGACGTATGACCTGCATCACGTGCTCTGACCCCCAAACCACTATTAGCAGACGGGCAGGGACTGGAAATCCCTCCCTCTTTCCTCCACACCCCAAAAAGCTAACATTGAGCAGGCTTGGGGATGGAGACCCAGCTTCTGCCAACAATTTCCCCTTCCTTGCCTGCCTCCTTTACAGCCACTGAGAGTGGAACTACTCCCACCCCCACACCCCTTGTATCATCTTGGGTGGACTCCATCCCCCTTGCAGAAGGTACTGAGCACCTACTGTGTGCCAGGCTTGTAAGGAGCTGGAGATTCAGAGATAAAGAAAGACACAAGCCTGTCCTCAGTTGCTCACAGACAGGCAGAAACAGACTGCAGCTCTGCATGATGGTGCCTATAATAGAGGGAAGGCCAGGATGCTGTGAGAACACAGAGGAGGAGTTCTTAACCCATTGAAGGATCAGGGAAGCCTTCCTGGAGGAGGTGTCGCTCAACCTGTATATGATAATGAACTACTGTCATAGTTTGAGCATTCGCTCTGATGGTAATCTCCACACTAAGCGCTTTGCTAAGCGCATAAGCTCATTTAATCCTCACGACATTGCTGAGGTAGGTGTCGCTATCCTCATATTAGAAAGGAGGAGACCGAGGCTCAGAGAAGTTCATTGACTTTCCCAAGGCCACAGAGCTAAAAAATGGCAGAGCTGTGAGTCAAACGCAGGCCTGTGTGACTCCAGAGACGATGCTTTCAGCCACAGGGCACCGGGTGCAGGTTTTTGTTTAAGAGGCACCTGAACAAGCGTGCTGCCTGTGGGGCCAGCACCGCTCACGTCACAGGCAGAGTAACCTTTTGCTGCTGGGAGGACGCAGACGCAGAGCAGTGTGGCCCAGCCAGCTGCAGGGGCCCAGAGACAAATGAGACAGTGGTGGGCCCTCAAGGCTCCTCCTGTGCAGTTTAGAAGCCCAGGATAAAGCTCTTCTTTCAGGTCACCCCAGGGCCATCAGACTAATCCCCTTGTCTCTCTCCTCGGCAGACGGGCAGGATTGAGCCCAACTACCCCAAGGTCTGTGGTCACCAGGGCAATGTGCTGGACATCAAGTGGAACCCCTTCATCGACAACATCATCGCCTCGTGCTCGGAGGATACGTCGGTGAGCAGCGGGGGTGCTCCCTGGGGGGGCCACAGGGCCCCTCTGCTTCCTCCAGGAGGCCTCCCTAGACTGCCTCCTTCCCCTTCTTTGCCCTCCCTGTCTTCTTGGTCGACCCTCCAGCAGCCCCAGGACGGGGAGTTAGGAGGAGGGCGGAGGGAGCAAATCCATGGGCTGTTTGGCAGGTCTTGTGCCTTTAGTGTGATTTCACTGGGAGGTGTTGGCTTTGTAGGTGAGAATCAGAAGAAAAAGATTAAGTGTGTGATTCAGCACCGGTCTCTGGTCTCGAAAGGAGAAAGACAGGAAGAGGAATGTGGACCAGGAGGGAGAGGGGGAGGAAGGACATGGGTGGGCCGTGAGGAAAGGAGGCCCGTCCTTGCAGGCTGGGCAAGCGTACCATCTATCTTTGTCCTGCACGAGCCATGGTTTTAGCGAAGGACACCGACTGCGAACTGCCGTGACTTGTCCAAGGACCCACCATGGTGGCCTGGAGTTTTAGGAGAGGAAACGGAGGCTCAGAGCCTCGAAGGGCTGACAGTTCCGGTCCATCAGACGCTCCGTCTTTCCATCTCAGCATGCTCTCTGGGCAAAGCCCTTGCGGGACTCCAAGGGTGCACGGAGCAGGGCGTCCTCGCCCGGGTCCTGCAGGGGGGGGGCTGTGAAGGCAGAGGAGCCACCACCCCTGGGTGGGGGGAGGAGGCCTGGCAGCGCTGCCACGACTGCTCTGACTGACCTTCCTGCTTCCATCAAAGCCCCCACCAGGGCAGGCCTCCCTCGACCCCCTCCAGACCCAGTGGTCAACGTTCTGTGCATCAGACACCACGCCCAGAACCAAGGTCACGAGGTCAGTCAGCACACCCACTATGTGCCAGGCACTGTGCTGCAGACGGGGCTGGGGAGGGAGCCAGCCTGAAGGGGCCCAGAGACATGCTGTGGGCAGCCGGCCTGGCCCACATCTCCTGGCGGTGCCCCCGCCGCTCCCCTGCTGCCCTCCACTGGCCTCACTGCCTTCTGGGGACACTGAAGGAACCTAGGCAGCCTCCACGCCCTCCCAGCTCCTTCCCGTATCCCACATCCCTTGAAAAGTCTCTGGTGAAGTCTGTCCCCCATGTCCCTCGGGATCAGCCTCCCCTCCCCCACAGCGTGAGGGGCCCTCGGGAGTGTTTCCTAACCCCCTCCTTCCGAGGATCCAGAGGAACACACCCAAGCCTTTCCCAAGTGGCTCCCGTCCTGAGGGAGGGTGGGGGCTGTAATTCTCCCTGGCATCTGGCAGAATCCAGTTCTTTCCGCAGCTGGGTGATGTCACCTATTGTTGGAGGGCTGTGCTTTTTATAGCTTCTGCCGCAGCGAGGGAGGGCGGCTGGCAGGCGGCAGGGAAGGGCGCTATGGCTTTCCAAGCCTCCTGCTCTCAGCCCTCCTCCAGCAGCCACAGAGAGAGGTTTCCGACATCTCCAGGAGAGCAGAGAGTGATGGGGGGGAGGGGAGGCAGGAGGGGGAGGGAGGCAGGAGAGGGAGAGAGGCGGGCCCTGGGAGGTGAGGGGGGCGGCAGCTCGAGCAGCTCCCCTCCCCTTCTGTTCCCCTGCTTCTCCATCCAGCAGCTGCCCTCAGCCCCAAGGAGAGGCGGTGCTCCTCCCCCAGGAGCCGGGGCGGGATGGGGCAGGATGTCAGCCCTGCTGGAAGCAGCCGGAAGCCACCCACCCCCCTGCCCTCCCCCCCACGCACACGCACACGTGTGCGCACGCACACACACGAGCCTGAGAACCAATGCCTCTTAGAGCTGGAAGGGAGCAGCTCCTTTTAGAAATGGAAGGACAGTAGCCCCAAGAGGCCTCACCGAAGCACCTGGCAGCTGCAGGGACACTGGCGGTGTGGCGTGTGGCTCAGTTGTTAACCAGCCAGGCTCGGGAGGCCACAGGCCTAGGTTCAAATCCTGGTTCTGCCATTTCTCACAGCTGAAGACTCTGAAGTCCGCAGTCTCACAGCTGATAAGGGCAGAGCCTGGATTTGAATGGAGTTGGTCAGACCACAGAGCTCTCACTTCCGTGGCCAGCTGCTCCCTCCCCCGTGCACAGGGGCAGTTGGTTTTGCAGCTTTATAAACTGCCCTTATCAGCTGCCTTGGCCTTGTCTGCACGTGTCTGCTGTCCACAAGGCAGTGAGCGACGTGAACATCCCCGAGTGTCCAGCCGGTGTGACATGGGGAGCGGCTAGGCGTGTTGTGTTGGGTTGATTGTAACTGAGTTAAACAGGGCTCTGACCCAACGGCCTTGGGAAGGGACAGCCCCAGACACAGCTGGCTTGCTGGAGAAAGCTCCTTTGCTGCTTTTCCCTCCCCTTCCGTCCAGAAATCCGGCTTGGCAGGCCCTGCTAGGGCTCCTGTTGAATTGAAGTGACCTTCCAGAGCAACCTCTGAGCAGACCCGTGGCACCCCTCCCACGCCCATCCACTCTTTGTCTTCAACAAGTGCCTTGGCTGTTAAGCGACGGGAACTCCTTTTGCAGCCACTTGGGCCCACTGTGAGCTCCAGCTCCTCCTCGGAGCTCCTGTAGCACTTGGTGCCAGCTGGGAGCTGCAGCCGTGGACTGAGCAGGGCTCGTCCTTCCCCCTAAAGATAACATGCAGTGATGTCAAAAGCAGAGACGCTGGAAGATTAACTAGCACGGTCTCGATGTGCAGAAGAGAAAACTGGGGCCCAGGGAGGGAGGGGGCTGGAGGCAGCCTGCCTCCCTCCTTCTCTGGGGGACAGGTAGCAGGCACTGGTGAAGACAGCTCATGCTCCCCCGCCACCCGCCTACCGCGCAGTCCTTCTCTCCACGGAGCTTGGATCCCTCCCGGGGCTGAGCCTGGGTGCAGGCGCGGCCTGCCCGCCCTCCCCCGGCTTGGCCCCGAGGTTCCGAGGCAGAGCTGTCATGCCAGCAAACCAGCCCACGTGGGTGGAGAGCCTCAGACTCACGAGGACCCTGAGGGCCCGTTTAGTTCAACCCACACACCCCTTGAAGGTGCCTCCGCCCGAGTTCATCTTCCAGAGGAGGAGCCTGCGCCTCAGAGAGGTTGACTGGCTCGTCCAAGGTCATCCAGCTGTCAGTGGGACGAGAGCCTCTGGACCCTGCCCTCCGGCTTCTCCACGTCTCTGCCTTAACCCAGCATGCGATGCAGCCCTGGGGCCCTCAGTGAGCGGGCTCCTCAGGGATTAGACTGTCCTGGGAAAAGATTTCCTCCCGAGACTCGCACAAGCCGGGCTCTCTCTCTGGGGCCTCGATGACTGTGTGGGACACACGCGGCCCCACGTCTCCTCTGCCACCGCCGGCCTGCCGCCCACAAGCCCAGCTGACCCACCTGCAGTTTCTCCACTCGCTGTGACCGAACCCACCCATCGGGTCATTTTTCCGTCTCCTCATCCTTCCCCCGTCCCCAGGCTGTCTTTTCAAACGTGGGTCAACAGCCGTCTTCTAACCCTCCGCCTTCCAGACCTTCCCACCCCTTCACCCCCAGCCTGCCTTCGGGCTCCCCAAGGTCTGTGCTCCTGCTGGCTGCCTGCCGCGTGGCCCCACTGCGTGCCGCTCAGGAGGAGGCAAGGCACGTGCTCAGCACCCATCCCGCTGGCTGCCCAGGGCCTGGCTCCTTAGAGATGTGTCTGCAGTGAGTGAGCCTCAACTTTCTGTTTCAAAGATTTTTCTTGAAGGCCAGAAGCCACTTTCCTGCGTCAGTCGACACTTACCCGCCGAGTGACATGGCGTCTGTGTGTGGTTGTCCTTGTCTACTGTCAAGGTGCAGGGTGAGGTGTCCGTGGACAAGATCCTTTGCTCCTAAATGCCTCCACCCTAAACTGTCTTTCTGTCCTTAAAGTTTTGTCCCCTTGAGTCTGAAAGTTTCTGGATCTTCCTACTCAAGTGCGAACAAAAGTAACCTATCGAGACGGAAAACGGTGCGCAGTGTTTCTAAAAATCAGAGAAATGTCAGTCCAGACAGCAGGGAGGTGGCGTTTTTGACCTGATGGGCAAACACCTGTTTTTGGAACTGTCGCTTTAGGAAAACACCCTCAGACTCTGTTGGTGAGAACTGGGACAGCTTTGGGGGACAACTTCACAGTAACCCTAAGAACGCAGACCAGCTCTAGGCCCGTGCCCCACAGGAATGCTCCCAACCACGCAGAGACGTGGGACCGGGCTGGTCATCGGAGAGAGCGTTGTAACGGGGAAACGGTGGCGGAGGCCCAGGTGCCCACTAACAGAGGCTGACTGAACCCGGGACAGAACGGTCACACAGCAGCTGTCCCTCTGGCCACTGGAAAAGGTCAGGCAGATCCAGTGGAGAGGTGTGGAGAGACGCCCACTCTCCTGTCACGTGAGGAAAGCGAGCTGCAGAAGGGCCACAGCGTCCCTGTGGGTGAAAAAGGAGGAAACGGGGGGAGGGAGGGGGACTCTGAGTGTGTGTGTGTCTAACCCAAGCACTGGTCTCCGCTCTTCAAGGGTCACCTTCCTCTTATATTTGGGGACAAGAAAATTGTGTGTCTCATTGGTGACCGCTGAGTCATCCAGCCTGGGCCCCACTTCACCCTCCCCACCACTGCCAGACCGGACCTCAGGTCTGACGGTCCTTGCACAGGGCTGTGGAGGGTGGCCTGGGGGCACGTTTTCCATGTCGATTCACAGCCTTCAGAACCATCATCGAGTGGCCAATGTTCCACGTCGCTGTGGCATGTTAAATTGTTCCCTTGATGTTGGTCATTTGGAGTGTATCTGAATTTTCTGTATTGCAATGAACATCTTTATGCATGGAGATTTTTGCTTATATTGACTTTTAAGAGTGAAATTACTAGGTCAAAGAATATAATAATCTTTATCATTCCTGCTAAAGATTGCCAAATTGCTTCCAAAAGAGTTACTCTGATTTATAATATGAACAGCGCTACTTGAATCCTTGCGTCTACAATTTCTAGTATAAACGTGTCAACACTGGGGATTTTTTTCTTTCAGTTGCTGTTTTAGAAGGTTATAAATGGTGCCTCAAAGCTGTTTTTCCTGTTTTTCTCATTACTAGCAAGGGTGGAGTTCACGTTTTCAGAAGGTCTGTTTAAAGGTGTCCCAAGTTGTAGTCACATGTGCTGCTTCCTCGCTACCCGGTTAGATCACAATAAATCGTATCAATGATGATGACAAAACTGCAATTCCAGAGGCCTTCAGAGCACTTCAGAGTTTACAAACTTTTACAACCAATATCTTTTTTTTTTGAAGTATAGTCGATTTACAATGTGTTAATTTCTGGTGTACAGCATAGTGATTCAGTTATACACACATATATTCCTTTTCAGCTTCTCTTTCATTAGAGACATTACCAGGTGTTGAATACAGCTCCCTGTGCTGCACAGTATGAGCTTGTTACCTGTTTATATACAGTAGTGTGTATCTGCAGATCTCGAACTCCCGGTTTGTCCCTCCACCCCTCCCTTTACCCCCGGTAACCATAAGCTTGTTCTCTATGTCTGTGAGTGTGTTTCTGTTTTGTAAATAAGTTCATTGTATCATTTTTTAGATTCCACTTATAAGTGATGTCATATGGTATTTTTCTTTCTCTGTCTGGCTTACTTCACTTAGTAGGATGATCTCCAGGTCCATCCATGTTCCTACAAATGGCATTCTCTCATTCTTTTTTTATGGCTGAGTCATATTCCATTGTATGTGTGTGTGGTGTGTATAAAAATATACCACAATTTCTTGATCCAGTCATCAGTCGATAGACACTTAGGCTGCTTCCATGTCTTGGCTGTTGTCAGCGGTGCTGCTGTGAACATCGGGGTGCAGGTGTCCTTGCAAATTAGACTCTCCTCTGGACATGTGCCCCGGGGTGGGACTGCTGGGTCGTATGTACAACCAGTGTTTTATTCTACCAGTGACCAAGGCAGGCAGACATTCTCCCCTCCCCTCTTACAGATGAAACCGTTGAAACTGTCCAGAGTATGTTTGGCTTGAGAAACAGAAGCCTGCCAGCATTAATGAAAACAATCGGGGGTTACTCAGAGATGGCAGAGAAACGGCTCAGTTTCTCCCTCTCTGGGGCCGTGTGGTCTCCTCTCTGCTTCTCTCCACATCCTCCTGCTTCTTTGTCAGCGTCTGTAAGACTGAGAAGAGCTGCATCCAGGCCCTGCATCCTTTCGGCTCAGGCTCCAGCACTCAGCAGTCTGCCCCTAGTTCTTCGTCTTTCAGGGGAGACTCTGGGTTTCCCTCTGCTCAGGTGTCCATCCTGGGTGTGAGGCAGAGTGAGGAACAGGGCCATGTGGTGCAGACAGAGGTGCTGGGGCTGAAGGCACTGTTAGAAGGGTGTGGGAAGGGAAGCAGGGACAGACTTGTAATGCAGTACTTGCTAAAATCTGCCCACTGTGTGGTCCTCTGGGCCTGGCTAGACCGTAACAGTAACAACACGCCAGTATTAACAGTTGTCGAGGGCTGCAGAGACTTCGCTGCAGAAGGCCCTCGCCAAGGCACAGAGGGGATGGTCTCTTTCCTCTCTAACCTCGCCCTGGAACCCACCCCTCAGCCGGGCCCTGCCCGGCCCCTGGCCATGAGGGGCCTTACTAGGCGGATGCAAAAGCCTGGGGTCCCAGGAAGAGGGCGGCAGAGGCTTGTCCCGGCCCTGCCCACTAGCCGAGGCCCCGCCCCCTCTGCAGGTGCGGATCTGGGAGGTCCCCGAGGGCGGGCTGAAGCGGAACATGACAGAGGCACTGCTGGAGCTGCACGGACACAGCCGGCGCGTGGGGCTGGTGGAGTGGCACCCCACCGCCAACAACGTCCTGTTCAGCGCCGGCTATGACTACAAGGTGAGCCGCCATGGGCAGCTGCGGCCAGAGCCAGCCCAGAGGGGAGCGCAGGGAGAGAAGGGCGTCTGCGTGGGCCTGGAGGCTACTCCCGAGCACGGTAGCTAACACCATTACATCCATCCGTGGTCACTCATCCACCCAGTCCGCACCTGGCTGGGCGTCTGCTGTGCCCCCGTTGTCCCTGGGGTCCACAGCAGCTGCAGGCACCTTTGCCACCCTCTCCGGCACTGGTCCCTGGGAGAGTGCCCGCCCCATGCCTACACTCTCTGCCTGACCACTTCTTAATCGAGATGTGACCGCTGCCCTCCTGGTAGGAAAAAGGAGCACCCAAAGCTACTGGAGGGAAGGAAAGGGCGCCCCAGCCGGGCATGCCCTGGAGAGGCGTGCCAGCCCCCTGGCCAGGAGGACTTACCCTCTTGGCTGGTAGCAGAAGTGGAGCTCAGGCTGGGGCTGGGGTCTGCCCAAGGACAGCGGTGGATTTGTGTGACAGGGACGCACCAGCCTCTCAGATAGGGCCCAGCGACCTTGTCCTGCCTCCCGGCACACCCAGCCCTGCACGGCACACCTCCCCAGGGCCATCAGGTGTGGCTGGGGACAGACACCCGTGCCAGCAGTGCAGGGCTGAGCCCACCTCCTGCTTGTCCGCCCTCCCAGGTCCTCATCTGGAACCTGGATGTGGGCGAGCCTGTGAAGATGATCGACTGCCACTCGGATGTGATCCTCTGCATGTCCTTCAACACCGATGGCAGCCTGCTCACCACCACGTGCAAGGACAAGAAACTGCGCGTAATCGAGCCCCGCTCGGGCCGCGTGCTGCAGGTGAAGCCCCACAGCTTGTCAAGGGGTACTGGGGCCTGGGGCTCCGCTGTCAGCCAGCCCTGAGGGCAAGGCTGTGCCAGCTCCCTTCTCCCGTGCACCTGACCTGCACCTCCTGGGACCAGCCCGTCTGTTCTGGGCCCTTCTCAACTCGTAGGAACCCTGCCTTGTTCTAAGTGGGGAGAGACCTCAGAACCCTTTCTCGTCCCCACTGACTGCACCCTTCTCCCCCGATGGGGTTTGGCTGCTTGCCCCAGAGGGGTCAAACTGGTGACCCCCTTCAGTGCAGGAATCCCTGCGTGTTGACCCTCATGGGCACAGGAGGAGGGGACTTGGGACTCACTGCCCAGCCAGCTGTGTGGCACGAGCCTGGCGGAAGTGGTGCAGGGTGCCAGCCCGAGGGAAGGCTCCCCGTGGGGAGGAGGAGGGCGGACTTGCTCCAGGACCGGTCTTTGAGTCTCCTGGGACTTGACTATGAGGAAGTGATTAGCTGCCATTTGGGAATAAGAAATTCACATTTCTTGAGCACCTCCTGCGTGCCAGTCACGGGTGTAGATGGGATGGAAAATCTGGTTGAAATGCGAGGTTTACCTCCTGACACAAGAAAGATCGGTGCGTGACCTGGTTGTTTATCATGGAAGAAGCCAGCATTGCAGGACCAGAAGGCCCTCTAGGCGAGTCCTGCCGATGGTAATCATCGTGGGGTTAACGTTAACCACCGTCCTCTGGTATTAACCGCCGCCCACTCTGAGCTCGCCGGGTGGCGTGCACCAGGCCCAGGGCTCCACGTCGTCACCTCACTTAATCGCCATCGCAGTCCTCTGAGGCGGCTACTGTTACTGGTCCCATTTCCCACGTGGGGACGCTGGGCCTTGGAGAGGGGCAGACTCGACTCTCACAGTTACAGGAGGAGCTAGATTTCACACGCAGCCAGTTGGACCCCAGAGCCGGACGCCGAGCAGAAAAGATGTAAGAGAGCAGAGACCCCAACCTCATCTCACAGGCGCGGACACACACCCAGAGAGGGTGAGGGTCTCCTGCAGGGCTGGACTTTTTTAGCAGAACTTGGCACTAAAATCCCAGAGCAAGCGATGCCAGCCTGGGTCTTTGCACTGCAAGGCCAGCCTCGGGTTTCTACCTAATGCTGACTCGTCCTGGCCAAGGACCCCACATGTTAGGAGGAAAAGGAGGTGTTGTGAGCCGAGAGGCAGAGGGCGGCCCAGCTCGAAGGAGCCCCTGGTGCAGTGAGTCACCAGCAGTGAACCAGCGTGAGCCCCGGCCTCCTGCGCCTCAGGGAGTGCTGGCAGGAGGTGGTGTTGTGCAAGCTAGTAAGAGATGCCTGGGTGAGAGCACCTGGTCCCCTGCCCCGCAAGGCCCTGCCTGGGACGTGGTCCACGTTAGTGCCCGGCTTCCCCGTCCCCTCCCGCTCTGGGCCCGACAGCAGCGGCAGTGGATCCTCTCGTGGCTCTGGGGGTAGAAGGTCCGACGTCCAGGTGTGAGCAGGGCCGCACCCCCGCGGAGGCTCTCGGGAGGGGCCTTCCCTTCCTTGCCTCCTCCAGCTTCCTGTGGCTCCCAGGGCTTGTGGCCCCACCACTCCAGCCTCTCCTCTGCGGTCGCACCAGCTTCTCCTTTCTGCATCCCTGGAATTTCCCTTTGCCCCTCTCTTCTCAGTAAGGACACTCGTGATGGTGTTTACGGCCCCTTGGCTGATGCAGGGGAGTCTCTCCATCTCAAGGCCCTTAAACTAAAATCACGTCTCCAAAGACCCTTTTCCAAACAAGGAAGCATTCGCAGGTTCCAGGGATTGGGACGTGAATGTCCCCTGGGGGCCGCAGGGCAGCCCACCACGGCACCCGCGTGCCTGGGGCCCGGCTCACCGGCCCTCTGTCCCTGCCAGGAGGCGAACTGCAAAAACCACAGAGTGAACCGAGTGGTCTTCCTGGGGAACATGAAGCGGCTGCTCACAACGGGGGTCTCCCGGTGGAACACGAGGCAGATCGCTCTCTGGGACCAGGTCAGCGGCAGGCGGGCGGTGGCAACCTGAAAGGCTGTAGCTCCGAGGGCTTGGCTGGGACTGGAGAGGGCGAGGCGCTGCCCTGCCTGGACGCGGGCTGATGCTGCCCCCCGACCCCGCAGGAGGACCTCTCCATGCCGCTGATCGAGGAGGAGATCGATGGGCTCTCCGGCCTCCTGTTCCCCTTCTACGACGCGGACACCCACATGCTCTACCTGGCCGGAAAGGTAGTGGAGGTCGGGGAGGGACGGGGCAGCTTGCGGGAGACCCCTGCCCCCGAGAAGAACCGGCCTAACCTCTCTGGTCTTCCTCTGACCCAACCCAGGTCTCACCCTCTTCTCAAGTCGGACACGTTCTCCTGAGGGGTCAATCACAGAATTCCTTCAGCAGTGAATTGGGGTGGGGCTTTAAGTGGGAATAAGGTCAGAGCCTGGAGTGACTAGTGATGGAGTCTGAGGCACAGGCCAGGAGATCCTGTTTGTCAGGAAGGTTGTCTGTGTGCCCGTGTGTGCGCACACACGCAACACGCGCACACACACCCCGCTCCACCTCCAGCCCACCTCCCCCAGCAAGTCCCTGCGACAGGCCCGCCCGGGGGCTGGAGGCCAAGTCTCCCTGCTTTTCGACACCCCCCCCCCGAGACACACGGAACCTCTTCTCAGCAGCCAGTGGACAGGGCCTGCCCAGCCGGCCCCGGCCCCTCTGCCTCCCTCACCGCCTCCCTCCCGGCCCCCAGGGCGATGGAAACATCCGGTACTACGAGATCAGCACGGAGAAGCCCTACCTGAGTTACCTCATGGAGTTCCGCTCCCCAGCCCCGCAGAAAGGCCTGGGTAAGGCGCCAGGGGCTGCCGTGGCCCTTAGGCTGTGGAAGGAGGGACTGGACGCTTGGCTCTTGGGTTGCTTCCCCCACCCTTGAATGAGAAATCAGGCTTGGAAGGCCACAGCTCAGGGCAGGTCAGGAGAGGCCCTACCAGCAAGTCAGGTGCTGCCCTGTGAAGGTCGCCAGCCCGCTACCGCCCGCCTGGCCGGCTGCCTCAGTCCTCAGCGCCTGGCGTCCCCCGGCTTCTCTGTGCTCAGCAGCCTGCAGGGGTGCGCACGGCGCCTTCCTTCCCCTGACAGACAGAGAGGCTGAAGCCCGCCGTGGTTCTGACATCGTGGGAGGTGGTTCAGTAACTCAAGGTCAGATCGGGGTCCAGACCCAGGCCCCTCCTTGAAGCCTCGGGGAAGCCAGGACCCCCAGGGTCCGGAAGCAGCTCTGTCCTTGCACCCCCAGCTCCCAAGTTCCCAAGCGAACCCTCGCGAGGGCTCCAGGTTGACGGGTGCAGGGGGCCGGTCCCCGCGCCCCACCCTCTCCCACCACTGAGCCTCACGGGGCGGTCTAGCCCGCTGACCAACGCTGGCGGTGCGTACGATCCCGCTGTCTCCCGTTTGGGGTCCAGATCACTGAGTGGAAATCTCTTCAGGGGTTCTGTTCCCTCCTCCCCTTAGAACTGAGTCTGGCTTGGTCCCTCTGAGGATCTGGTGTTATGGACAGGGCCTGAGGGCCAGCTGCAGAGACCGCAGGGCTGGAGGGCCCCAGGGGCCCCCCTCAGTGACCAGCAGCAAAGTGAAGGCCCGGAGATATGCCTGAGGGCCTAGTGACCGTCCCGCTGGGTGACCCTTCCCCCGCGCGCAGCCTTCCCCACCTCCCTCACTGTTGCCCTGCCGTCAGATACTGTAACAAGCCACCTGGACTTTGGAGCGCAGCCAGGCTTATATTCTGGTTCATCTGTGCCCATAACCCCCTGAGTCTCAGTTTCCTCCTCTGTAAAGTGGGGACAATCAATAGCCCTGCCTTGAAGGGCTGTTGTAAAGCTCAGAGGCCATGTGTACACAGCACCTGGCAGAGCACCTGGCTCCTCCTGCTCCTGCACATAGTCATTCAACAAACCTTTACTGGGAACCAGCTAGTCCCAGGGTACAGTGATAAATGAGAGGGAACACGGCCTCACTCACATCCCTCTGAGGGCAGACAGACAATAAACAAATAAGGAAGGAAAATACTGGGTGGTAGTGAGTTCTAAGAAGAGAATCACCCCGTGGGTGATAGGACAGGGGGAGCTGGGAGCTGGGAGCTGGACCAGGCCAAGTGGCGGGAAGCCTTGCTGTGGAGGAGACATTGCAAACTATGACCTGGAAGGCAGGAAGGCGAAGAGCAGCGCCTGCTGGTGCAAAGGCCCCGAGGCCCGAATGAGCCTGGCCTGTGCCAGGAGCAGAAGGGGTAGGGGTGGCTATGCGCAGAGTCGTCTCTGCAGCGTGTGGAAGACGGGGAAGGGGTCAGAGGGTTTGGGTGGAGGCCGGGCCGGGGCCAGGTCGCATGGGGCGCGTTAGGGTGCATTAGAGTTCTCAGAGAAACCAAATATATTTATAAGAGGGGACTTACAAGGATTTGGCCCACAGGATTATGGAGGCTGCGAAGTCCCATGATCTGCTGTCTGCCGGCGAGAGCCCCAGCAGAGCCCGCAGTGTCACTCAGTCCAAGTCTGAAGGCCTGAGACCCAGGGGGGCCGATGGTGTGACTCCAGGCCGAGGGCAGGCGATGAGATGAGCTGTCCCAGCTCACGCATGAGGCCGGAGAAGGGGGCAGCGTCCTCCCTCCTCCACCTCTTGTCCTAGCCAGACCCTCACCGGCCCGGCCAACGCCCGGCCGCGCTGGAGGGGCACACCTCTCCTGACTGCGCTGCTGCCGCCACACGGGGGCGGCGCTGGGGTTTTGCTGGGAACTCGCGCGGGGCTTCCTTTGTCTTGGGTGGGTGGGTGGGTGGAGGTGGGACACGGGGACGTGCTCTGACAGGTCAGTTTAAGATGGCTCTGGCTCCTGCAGGGAGAGTGGATTTGGGAGAATGGAATTTGAAGGGACAGGGGGAAAGCAGAGCCGGGGCAGGAGGCCACCGCCTATCTAGGCGTGAGAGGGTCGTGGCTGGGGGCGGCGTGTCGGGGAAGACGAGAGGGAGACTCCGGGGGTGCTTAGAAGGCAGGGTCAGCAGGACCAGGGGAGATGGGGTGGGGGGGAGGGCCGGGGGAACCGCTTCTCCCCGTCCTCGCACCTGTGGTCGCTGTTGAGTGTCTGCCACCAGCTAGACGTTTTTCGTAGGTTCAGAGGGGCTGCCTGACTCACCCCAGGCAGGTCCCGCAGCTCCTCAGTGGCAAAGCCCAGACTCAAACCCAAGTCTGCTAGTTTCAGGTCCCCCTTGGTACCACGATGCCGTGGGACTCCCTTATCTGGAAGAGCCAGCCGGAGACGGGGACCCTAACTCATACTCACATCTTGGAGGAAGAACTAACGATATCTGTCCTCATCGTGGTCCCGGCAGTTGACAAGCATCTTCACACTCAGCCCCCTGACCGTCTCCTGAGGAGCCCCCACTGGGTTCCTCTAAGCTCAGGGGGGCAGTGATTTACCCAAGGACCCGCAGCCGGAAGGAGGGCAGAGTCAGGATTCAGACCCAGGGTTCTGTCCCACCCAAGGCTTGTGCTCCTAACACCACGCTGCGCTGTTCCCTGCAGTGGAACAATCTGTAGGTGCTCAGAGGCGCAGCTGTGAGGGGCTTGTGTCTTGTGCACACTCAGACGGTACGTGCTCGCTCGCACGCACGCGTGTCGGTCATAGAAGCGCATGAGGAAGTTGCCACCTCAGGCTGCACGTAAACCTCAGGGGTGCACGAGGAACGCTTCCTCCCTCCTTCTCCAGACGGGGGACACAGGCTTTGGGAAACCAGTTCATTTCAGAAGGTGATGTGGCTCAGACAGCGACAACACTGTGCCCTCAGGCAAGCCCCTGCCCCTCTGACCCTCAGAAGTCTCCCATGTAAGAAGAGCACATTCAGTTCAGTCCTGCGGCCCCTTCCGGCTCTCAGAGGCCGGGTTCTGCCGTGTGACCCCGCGTGAGGCCGGGCTGGCCCACAGGACGCATTTGAGAAGTCACCACCCAGAGACAGGGCCGGACTCAGGAAGCCCCGGGCCCGCCTCCTGCCCTCCAACCCTAGTGCCCTCCTCCTGGGCCTTTCCCCTGGCCGAGGTCATCAGGCAGGGGGGCTGGGAAGGGGTTCCCCAGCCCCCGCAGCCGCGTGTGCCTGTCCACAGGGGTGATGCCCAAGCACGGGCTGGACGTGACCGCCTGCGAGGTGTTCCGCTTCTACAAGCTGGTGACTCTCAAGGGCCTGATCGAGCCCATCTCCATGATCGTGCCACGGAGGGTGAGTGGGGCAGGGCTGGCCTGCCCGCCGCTGACCATCGGCCTGGCAGAGCCCAAAAGGAGCCCTGCGGATTGGGGTCTTCAGGCCCAGTCTGGGGTGGTGGGTGGGGGGCGCTCCCTGGTGAGGAGAGCTTGGCTTACTAAGGAAGGCAAGGTGGGCACCAAGCAGGAAGCTTGGAGGCTGGAGGGCAGGTGGCGTGGCTGGAGGTCAGCGAGGAGAGTCTGCCTGGGGAGCAGGGGCTTCTCAGCGGCTCCCATCTGTCCACTCTCTGCTCTCCCCGCTGCAGTCGGATTCCTACCAGGAAGACATTTACCCCATGACGCCGGGCACCGAGCCAGCTCTGACCCCCGACGAGTGGCTGGGAGGCATCAACCGAGGTACCGCGCGGGTGGGCTTCCCGGAGGAGGCTCGGGGCCGCAGCCTTGGCCCTCGGAGCAGCTCGCTCCTTCCCCTCGCGTGGCCTCCTCGATGAGCCTGCGCCATGCTCGGGCGACGTCCAGGCACGTGTAAATGAGAGCCACCGCCACCTGGCCGTCCCTCGAATTGTCAGTGCGAACGTGTCCCTTCCTCCCTTAGACCCCGTGCTGATGTCCTTGAAAGAAGGCTATAAGAAGTCCTCCAAAATGGTGTTCAAGGCTCCCATCAAAGAAAAGAAGAGTGTTGTGGTCAACGGAATAGATTTGCTAGAGAATGTCCCACCCAGGACAGAGAACGAGGTACGGGGTGTCAGTTACCGCCTCCCACACCCTGGAAGCGCGACACCCTTGCATTCCAGTTGGCGGCAGGCCCTGAGCCGGCTCCGCCCTGAAGCGCTTCTCTCTCTGGGATAGGTACCGTAGGTGGCCAGCCGTTGGCTCCCGTCGCCTCTGACCCCAGTAAGCAGAGGCCGGGCTGTGGGAGGCTGGTGATGCTCCTGCCCCCCGCTAGCCCGGCGTTACGTGTCCTCATGTATCCATCTCAGAATGTCGCTGTAGCTTAGTGTTCCAGGAGTTACGCACTCCTGGCTCGCAGGGGAAAGCCAGCCTCGTGCATCCCGACCCAGCCTTCCTCCCTGGCGAGGCAGCAGCGACGGGGCTGACAATTTCCTGTTTTTGTGGAAGAGACTGAGTGTTTATGAAAGTGCTCTTTGTACCGTTTGGAAAAGAAGCAGCTCCCTCGGGGGCACCCAGAGCTGGGCCTTGTCCACGCCCCCGGGAGGCCTGTCCTTCCAGCCGCACCCTCAGCCCCGGCCAGTCCAGCCAAGCCCAGCCAGGGTTCATGGCACGTGCACCGTGAGCCGGGCGCTGGGTCTGATGCGGCCGGAGTGGGGGTGGCTGCAGGGACCCGCCTGCACTTGGGCCCTGGCTGTCAGGCTCCCAGGCTGTGCTCACACCAGCTCCCGCCAGGCAGGTACAAGCTTGGGTGTGCCTGTGAGGGTCCTGTGTCAGCAGGGAAGATGGTAGGTAAATGAAGCACTAGGTTAGAACCTCTAAAAGGCGAGCTCAGGATATTTGGAAAGCTGACCTGTGTGGACTCGTCCCTGCCTCTGTGGCCCAGATCCACGTCTGCATAGGCCAGAGCTTCCCTCGGTTTTGCCTCATGGGTCGGGTGGGGGTGGGGGTGGGCAGGGGCAGAAGCCCTGAGCTGAGTCTGGAGAAGGCAGAGCCACAGGGACCCGAGTCACCTTTAAGAAGAAAATACACACACACACACACACACACACACACACACACACACTTATGTAATTTCCCTTCAGTACCTGCCGTCCACGTCCCGTGGGAAATTAAAAAACGGCCTCGTTGACACATCGGAGCCAATAACTCCCTAGATAATCAGCAGTCGCGGCTGCGTAGGTGGGTGGGGGGAGCGGCGG